ATAGGACGATCATGTTTTTATTCCCAAGATAGGACTAATTACTGCCATGTTTTGGCAGTACCAGACTTTAAACATGACAATATTTTCCAAACTTGGCAGTAATTATTCCTATTTTGGGAATAAAAACATGGCAATCCAATTTTGGAATTTTCAAACTTTTTTACTCCTATTTCGGGAATTTTCCCTTATAGTTACCACCTTTATCCCACAAAACATTGCCTACTTTCTTTTTTGTCCATCCCATTAAACTTCTCATTTCTCTTTTAAATGACTCACAACCACACTTTTTTCACTTCCCTAGTCTTCATGCCTATGGAGTTCCGAAACTCTCCGCGCCTCACGTTTTTCCATTTTTGAAAACTTGAAAGCGTGTTAGAAACTCGAAAACTTCAAACTCTTGTTTCAAATCCGTTTTCCTAAATAATCAGCGTTTCAGAATCCTTATACTACAAGTGTCCGTAGTCCGTAATAGTGTAAGGAGGACCACACAGTTCCCTATTACTATCGGAGTGCACCAAGGATTGGCTCTAAGTCCTTTCTCATTTGCTATAGTCATGGATGAACTTACGAATTTGATTAAAAAAGATATACTGTGGTGCATGATGTGTATCGACGATATTATATTGATGAGACAAAATCGAGTGTTAAAGGAAAGTTAGACGTATGGTGACAAACAATGGACACCACGACTTTCAAGCTGAGCTGAAGCAAAACTAAGTATATGGAGTGCAAGTTTGGTGGTGGTAGAAGTAGTAGTAAGAGTGAGATTGCCCTTGATGACAAGGAGATACCAGTGTGTGATATGTTCCGTTTCTTGGGCTCCATAATTGAAAAGAATGGTGAATTAGATGGAGATGTATCCCATAGAATCAGAGCAAGGTGGATGAAATGGAAGAGTGTATCAAGATTTCAATGCAATCGAGGTATACCGATTAGACTGAAAAGTAAATTTTATTGAAAAATCACTAGGCCTGCCTTAATGTATGGCGTAAAGTGTTGGGCAGTAAAACGATGTCACATTCAAAAGATGAGTGTGAGAGAGATGAATATGTTGCGTTGGATGTGTGAACGTATCAGAAAAGATCGTTTGAGGAATAAGATAACCACACAAATGGTGGGAGTAGTACCTATAGAAGATAAGATGCGGGAGTCGCGATCGCGGTGGTTTGGTCATGTGCATGTGCGTAGAAGACCAAGTGATGCACCTGTTACACGACTTGCGAGGTGGGGAGAAGAGGCGGGGTGAGAAGTAGAGGGAAAAGAAGACTCAAACAGACTTGAATTAGAGGAATCAGAATTGATATGTATCTTTTTGGGTTGGATCAGAATATGAATTTGGAGAGAGCAAAGTAGAGGACACACATTCGTGTGGACGATTGATATCTTTTCTCTCTTGTCTCTCTTTTTTCTTTTATCGTTTATCTTCTTTATCTTTTATGTTCTTATGTTACTTTTATCTTTAATCTTTCTTATGCTCTTTTATCTTTTTATCTTTTATTTTTCTTATGTTCTTATGTTATTGTTATCTTATATTTATCTTTATCTTATCCATTTGGTATCCAGTGTCAGTGTGTCACTGGATATTAAAAAAAGTAATCTGGTAATACTTCGTATCAATTTAGGGATTTCTACATTTAGGATCAATTTAGTCTCTTTTTGGAAACTGAATAAATGTCCTTTTTTGTCCGTAAATTACTTTTTAGTAATTTTTTTGACAGCTCCAATGAAAAAACTTGTGCACATATATGAAAAACTATTTATAAATATTTCCCTATATTTTTAATATTTATGCGTTTTCCCCACATTTTGTATCTTATATTTTACATTTCTCCCGTTTCCCGTTTCTCTTTTGCGTGTTACTTAGCTTCATGCCATTCAAACTTGGCAAAATTTGTGGGACACGGGAAGTATAATAATCTATTATTAATGTCAAGATGTTAACTAATTGTTATCTTAGCAACACTCCCCAACTCACAACTTTAATGAGGGAAGAATTAATATTCAAGAGAAGAAGTAAGAAAATAACTCACAACTTTAACATTTAACAAACTTCAAGAGCTTACCTCTTCATTTGGAGACTAAACAATGTTAGAAAAATATAAAGAAAATAGTATTCTAAGTTGAACTTAAGTATATGGAAGAAATGATATCAAATGGGAAGGACAAGGGTTGTATTTATAGATGTTTGGAGGTGGCAGGGTAAAATACCCGATAGGTAAACATGACACCCGATCGGGTAAAAGACAAATCTTTACAAATATTGCTCTCATGATCATTTGTTCCCGGATTTGATTTAGACACTCGAATCAAGCAAATACCCGATCGGGTATAGACTATGCCGTTATACCCGACCGGGTAAATGACTTATTTCCCAAATCTTCACTTTATTTTGTTCCCTTGCACTTTCCTTGACGTTCCAAGGATCCTTTTGATGATCTTTGTCTGGTTTAAGCTCAAAAAATAGTCCTAATCTAAACAAATTACAAACAATTAAGAAAAATGTGTAATTTCCCAAACAACAATAAATAAAACTAGTTAAAATTACAAACACAAACAATAACAATTCTATACTATCGGTAGTCAATTGTTTTTCAGTTTTATTGTTTACATTTTATTAATCAATCTTTCTTATATTTGAAAGAGAGATGGCCAGTACCGCATTGATTCTCATGCCACACCTACCATGCTAAACTGTCTCATGTACAAGCTGTCATATTACAGGTGTGATTGTTTGTCGGGAAACATCCACATCCGGTTCAGATATATTTGGGCGTGATAAGTAAATTCATTTATGTTTTGTCTTTTCCATTTAGATTTGTTGAGACAGATGGCAAGGGTTTTGATAGAGTTAGGCGGACTGAAATTGGAAAGAAATATTTCAAGCTCACCTACTTTGAAGAGGTATACTATTTTGAAGTCTTAAGTGGCTCGTGAATTGACAACACAGTTTGTTGTGATTTGTTGCTTTGTTTTGGCTTGGACACTGATAAAGGTAAGAGCCTCCCTCAAACGAGAATGTGGATCCAGGTGCTAACTAATGTTCTTCCGGCACAGGTATTCACTACACACCATTGGATGGTTAGGATCTACAAACTAAAGCCCCCAAAGAACAGGATTCGTGGGAAGACAAAAAAATCTAAGCCGGTATGCTGCACCTTATATTTGTCTCTGCATTGATAAATCTAATCCTTTCTACTCAGCTGGCTTTGATTATTGATGTTATTATTATTTTTCAAATTGGCAGAAGTCTAACTCGAGTAGCTCAAAGAGAGGTGGAACGAGGAAAAAGAATCCTTGGCTATAGAGAAGCTAGCGTTCTTTCCTTACACATACGGTTGTAGCAGAGATGGCTGCTAACTTTTCATTAGGAAATACAGAGATTTTAGTTGATGCTGAGTTTACTAAATCGGTTGTATTTATTTATAATCGCTCATAGACGCATACTCACATAGCCAACACAATTGAACTTCGTTTTACACCACATTTCATTAGAAAAGAATATCGACCCATACGGCCATACCAAAAAGTATCCTATCACTGTGCACTTTTCATGCCCGTTTAGGTATAATATACACACCACCACTAAAATTGGATGGGAAAAACAATTAATTCAGGACATTGGTGGCGTATCTTTAGTCTTTACTAGGGATGGACTGGGCCGGGCCGAACCGGCCCGGAACCGAACCGGCCTGCTACTGTGCAGGCCTGGACCGGACCGGGACTGGTTGGCCGGTTCCGGGCTTTTAGCCCGTTTGGGCGGGCCGGGCTCGGGCCCAGTTTTGGGCGAACCGGCCCAGGCGGTTCGGGCCTGGCCCGGGTCTTTTCTTTTTTCATTTTTTTTTCTTTTCCTAGGCTAGGGCTGGGTGTTTTGGGGAGGTTTGGGGGTGCGGGTGAGGGGGGGGGGGTCGGGGGATAACAAGAAAGCAAAAAAAAAATAGACATTGACCCGGGTCCGGCTCGGCCCGGTTAGGCCTGGACCTGGTATCAATCCGGGTCGGTTCTGAGCCCATTGATTTGCAAAAAAAGCCCGTCCGGCCCTGGCCTGGAATCGGAACCGGACCGGCTTGGGTCCATCCCTAGTCTTTACCAGCTAAGTATCTGCAAAAGGATTTAAAACATGTCACATATCAAGTGATTGAATAGATGCCACTATTTTTGTCCCGCTTAAAAGTTCCAATTGCAAATGGCACAATTATTTAAGGGGGAATTTGACTTTGCATCTCACTTTTTAGGTAATATTGGATTTTGCATCTCATTTTGACAAAACTTTGATTTTGCACCCCATTTCACTTAAAACACCCTATTTAGAAATTTTTCTTCACAAAATGGTATGTGTTGGGGTGCAAAGTCAAAGTTTTTTGTAAATGGGGTGCAAAGCCCAATATCACCCAAAAAGTGGGGTGCAAAATCAAATTCCCTCATTATTTAACAATAATTAAATTAGGTAATTTGAGCATATTTTGAGAATAGTTTTGATGGATATGTAATTGAATGAGGCCATTGATGATGATTGTAATGTTATAGATGTATCATTTTTAATATTTTGACGAGTAAATTGTCATTTAAGGGTATTATTTTTTTTTTAAAATAGAAATGATAATCTTTATATAAGACATCCAAAAGAAAGCAAGAACTTTAGAATTGAATGAAGGAAGTATGTTAGTTGGACTATTATCATACTATGTACCCATGTCCTTGAAAATTCTTCTAAATTACATTTTTGGGACGTTCAAAAAATTCTTTCCATTTCCATTTTTCTTACACAATCATGATCATACATTTCTACTTTATTCTCAATTTTTTAAACTTTGATCCAAGTTAAACCGGGAACTATTTTTCGGGATGGAGAAATATTTAGTTAAAGAATAATTATTCCCTCCGGTTCTCAATGACCTTCACACTTTGACTTCACGTGTATTTAGGTAGAATTAAAAAGAGGGGTGACTTTCCAAAATTGCCCTTACTTTATTGTGTGTGGGGGGGTGATGGTCGAAATAAAAGGGCAAGGGGTAAAGGAATAGTAAAAAGGGGTAATAAACATCCATTCCTAAAAGAAATCATCAAGGTTCACATCAATATGGTTCACATCAAGATGGTCCATTCGTACAACAACTTTTACAATTGAATCACAAACTAAATTAATCAAAAACTTAGGAAGAAGATTCCCCCCTTTTATAAATGCTACCCCTTTCTATAAATACACAAAAAGTTAACACATCAACCATCAGCCTTTACTCATTTCCAGCTACCTCCACATGCTGCCATAAATGGCCACTGTAGGAAGAAGATTCTGCAGAAAGGTGGACCTTGGATCTAGTTCTGCCACCCCCACTTGAAGGTACGCAACTATCACTTGCACCTGCACAAATAGAAAATGATGAGGATGGGTCCACAGGACATGGTTCTGGGAAAAAAATGTCCTAAACTAACATCTCAATCAAGAGCAAGAATTGTTCAAATCTTGTTAAGCCATTCGTTTGAGGGGAAACTTAAAGAGGCTCAGTGACAAACATAGTCAAGGAGTTCAGCATGTCAAGAAGGACTGTCCACAATTTATGGCTCACAGCAAAACAACAATTGCAAGCTGGCATGCCTATAAATGTGGGTAGTAAGTTGAAGGGACATGTGGGTAGAAAACCACATGTGTTTGACTTGCAAAAAATGGCAGAAATCCCTTTACACCAAAGAAAAAACAAGAGAGCACTGAGTTATGCAATGCAAGTGTCCAAGTCTACTGTCCAAAGGTGGTTCAAGCGGAAGCAAATAAAAAGACACTCCAATGCTATTAGGCCCCTTTTAAATGAAAATGGAAAGATCAAGAGGTTAACATTCTGCTTAAACAACATAAATTCCTCCTCATTGCCCTTGACCCCAACATTTCATCACTTTTAAGATCACATACACATAGATGAGAAGTGGTTCTATTTATCAAAAGAAACAACCACATTCTACACTCTGCCTACAGAGGAAGACCCATACAGGACTGCGCAGTCAAAGAAATTCATACCCAAGATTATGTTCTTGGCAGCTGTGGCCAAACCTAGACTGGGGGACAATGGGGAGGCTTTATGGGATGGAAAGATTGGAATATTTCCATTCATTTATGAAGACACAGCCAAGAGATCAAGTAAAAACAGAGCAACATGTACATTAGAGACAAAACCAACTTTGAGTGTTATAAGATCGGTGGTCAAGGACATCACACTAAATCAACGACTACTAGCAATAAAACAGAAGTGGCCAAATCAAGAAAACAGGCATATAATCATTCAACAAGATAATGTCAGGCCTCATATTGATGGTAATGATGCAAATTTTGTGATGAATGCAACAGAATGTGGATGAGATATCCAACTTAAATGTCAACCACCAAACAGTCCAGACCTTAATGTCTTAGACTTGGGTTTTTTCAGGGCAATTGGCTCAATTAAAGAACAGAAGGCACCAAAAAGCATATTGGAGTTAATAACTGCAGTTACCATAGCATTTGAAGAGCTTACACCCAATACATTGAACAAGGTGTTCCTAAGCTACCAATATGTAATGGAAGAGGTCCTAAGGCATAATGGAGGCAACAATTTCAAGCTGAAGCATGTAGGGAAAGACAGAAAGCAAAGGCTAGGGCAATTACCAAAAAATGTGGAAATTTGTCCACAAGTGTATGAAACAGCAAGGGCAAATTTGGCAGCACACTTGACAACTACCTCATCACAGCCTGCAAGTCTACAGAATGAGTTCATAGGTGAAGGGTATCCTGTTGTCTTGGGTCGTCAGGGGACGTTCGTCCCCATGAGCCTAACTGTTGTTTCATGCCAAAGTCCTTCGAGACGTGCGTCTGGTGATGCTCCTGAGCCAAGGTACATTGTACGCTATAATACATACGTCCCTCGGATGATGGGAAATGGTGCCCCGTTGTCTTGGGCCTTAACTTCATCCCCATGATTCTAACTGATGTTTCCTGCCGAGTACCTTCGAGACGTGTGTCTCGTAATGCTCCTGGGCCAAGGTACATTGTACCCTAAAATACGTACGTCCCCTGGATGATGGGGAATGGTGCCCCGTTGCCTTGAACCTTCTGGGGACATTCGTCCCCATGAACTTGCCTCCTGTTCCCTGTGAGACGTGTGTCTCGTTCTGCTCCTGGGCCAAGGCACCTGCCACGCTAGGATACGTACGTCCCCTGGATGGGGAAGGGTATCCTGTTGGCTTGGGCCTTCTGGGGACGTTCGTCCCCACGGGCCAAGTCCTGTGAGACGTGCGTCTTGTGATGCTTCTGGGATAAGGTACCTGCCTACACTTAGAGACGTATATCCCCTTCTCTTTGGCCAAGTTGGGGACGAACCTCACTAGGGGGCTAACCCGTTGTCTTGGGCCTTCCCGAGACGTTCGTAGGGTAGACCTTTAAGGCTTTATCGGCCAATCCCCATTGGACCATGAACCCAACACGAGTGTATACAAAGAAGATTATGTGACGTTACTTCCAAAATACATACATGTTTTTTGCATGCACAAACAAGGAAATGTTGTGTTTGGACAAAAAAAGTGGTTATTTAGGATGTTTTTACTTGGACTTAGGGTTGGACTCGGGTCGAGATCGGGAGAGGCCCGGTTCTCGAGTCCGGGCCCGAGTCGGACCTAGGCCCGGTTGGTAGTGCGGGTCCAGGCTCGGGTCTCACATTTGGCGAACCGTCCCGGACGAGTCAGGCCCAGGCCAAATTGATTTTTTTTTTCATTTTTTGGGGTTCCACTCGGGTTGGGGTTGATGGTTAGGAGGTGTTTGAGAGGGTGGGGGTGAGGACAGCGTTAGGAAAGCAAAAAAAAAATACCCAAACCGGAGACCCGGGCCAGCCCGGACCCGATGGCTACCCGGGCCAGTCCCAAGTCCATCATTCCTGAACCGCCGACCCGCCCGGCCCTAGGCCCGACCCGGACCCGGCCCGAACCCAAGTCCAGCCCTACTTGGACTGAAATTTCATTTTGTATATTTTTGCATAAAGATTTTATTTTTTATATATATTATAATCCATAAATAATTATATTTTTTATTCATTTATAATTAAAAATAATAGTAATAATAGTAATAATACTAATAATAATAACAATAAAAATGATAATAACAATGATGATGATGATGATGGACTCGGGCCGGGCCAATTTTTTATATATATATAATTTTTTTTAAGTTTTTGGGTTGGGCAGGGTATTTTGGGCCATTTGAGGTGGTTAGGATTGGTTTGGGGGTGAGGGGGAGGGTTGGGGGTTAACTAGGAAAAGCCAAAAAAAAAAAAAATAGAACCGAGGCCCGGCCCGGACCCGGGGGTTACCCGGGCCGGTTCCGGGCCTCCCCTTCATGAACCGAGGCCCGGCCGGGCCCGAACCGGAACCGGTCCATCCCCAGTAACAGTAACAGTAATAGTAATAGTAATAATAATAATAATAATAATAATAATAATAATAATAATAATAAAAATATGGTCTGGTCTGGTCTGAAATTTTATTTTTTATATTTTTTGCATAAAGATTTTATTTTTTATATATATTATAATCCATAAATAATTATATTTTATTCATTTATAATTAAAAATAACAATAGTAATAATAGTAATAATACTAATAATAATAACAATAACGATGATAATGATGATGATGCCGATGATGATGAAGATGATAATAAAATATGGTCTGGTCTGGTCTGTTTTGGTCTGGTCTAGTCTGGTCTGATCTAGTCTGGGACGAATTAATGTCCAAGTAAAAACAACCTTATTGCTTAGCAATAAAAAATGATGCCAACCAATGAATAGAGCTCAAAGACGCTTCAGTTCTGATTTGATTCCCTAAATTGAGAAAGGAGTAAATAAACTTATCAAGGTGAGTTTTGGATATTCTAACATTGTCATGGTAAGAAAGAAAAAGACTACAGTTCTTCCACCCAATTTTTCCGAACTCCAACTCAAGATTTATCCTACCATTCGGTCCAACTACTTGGCTGGTTTTGACTCTAGTTCCAGATTGATTCTAGTTCGCCCAACTCTTGTTAAGAACCGCAACTATGTCCGATCTACTGCAAAAATAAGATGAACAATATCCTACTCACCAACTTCATTCCATAAATGGCCTCTTCAAGATGGGTAAAACTTTACTATTCAAGTGTTTTCAAATGTCGTTTAGGATGTGTTAGGGTCCCGCAAACAACAAAAATACTATAAGTACCCCAAAGTGGGGTACCTCATTTTTACCCCCTAAGACCATTTGGAGTGGTGTAGAGTCCAAAATGTCAAAAATGGACTCGGTCCATACGGGTACCCATTTGAATCGCACATTGGTGTGACTCGTCCCGATTGGTTGATACCTGTTAATGAATTAATATGATCAAATCCTGATTGGTAGACCTACGTAAATAAATTAATATTATCAAAAGTCGATGGTACTATATGAAAGCAGTGAATCAAGAGGCCTGACAAACAACTACGATAAGAGAAGTGAGATAAGATTTCAGTTAAGTTTTGAGAGTCAATACCTTGAATTCCAAGTCTCAAGTTCTCATTCACTTGATACTTGAAATAACTGCAAAACATTTTTAGTTCAAATCCGTTACATAATTGATTAATAATTGTAAACAAAAAATTATATTACTTGGACCTTGGAAATGAGATCAACAACTTCACAGCTAAAAGCAATTTGAGCAAAAGTAAGTTCACACGCCTCATTTCACCATGTAGCATGAAGTAGATCCTGTCCTCACAGCCTGCCTACAGCATTTACGCAAACAAATTTAGGCTATGGAAACCACTACACATAGGTCATAATAGAGTGCAGGATAGAAACAACAAGTAACAAAGAAAGAAATGCAGCACTACATGTCCTCAGCCACCATGTGATGCTGCTACTCTACTCTTATATCCTCCACCCTCACTCCCGTCCCGAACACCTCCCCCTTCTTATTAGGAGTGGCATATGACTATATGAGTTATTTATCATTTTTTAATTTCCTCTCCAACCGGAAATTAAAAACTACAATGTTTTATTTTATTCCTTTCGAAGTCCTGACTCCATCCTCTAGTTCTATGCAGATGTACTCCTTTTCTCTTTTTTTTCTTTTGGGATTAAGGCTTGGATGTTGTTGTTGTAGAGGATGAGAAGCTTTGACGTAGCCCTCTACTTCTATGCAATTATACTCATTATTCGAATGAGTTACTCTACTGCTCAATATAACTGCATTTGTTGTGTACTGTTACTTCAATCATCTACAAAAAAGCATGTTTAAAAACCATTCTGTCTCATTGCAGCAAAATTTAGTTTCCCATTAACGTAGTTATAATTTCCAAAAAAATTGAAAACTTATACTTATGATTAATAACCAAAAGTTGCATGATTGTCATCATCATCATCATCATCATCATCATCATCATCATCATTACCCCAGTGCCACAAAGGCTGCCACCTTTCCTAATCAAGTTCGGATATACGCAGTCTTACCCTTGTACTAAAGCACAAAGAGTCTGTTTCCGGATGACCCATGGTGAAAATTGCATCGAAAATTACATGAATTGACTGTTGCATGATTGTATCTTACAAAATTGAAAAAGTTGTAACTTGCTGAAATTTGACTGTTTGGGTTAGAGGTAGTATTTATAGTTTTGTATGGTCTGATTCACATTTGTGTCTACAGTCTGATCTTCCAACATTAGACCTTGGTTAATACAAATCTACATTAAAATCCTATACTGAACTTGATTAGGAAAGGATGTTAAGCGTAGAAACCATCTTGACATAACAGGAGCGGACTTACAGAAGTACGTTATGCAACCTTAACAAGGTGTTGAGGTAGACCATAGGCGTATCAATAACACCTATTCTTTTAAAACTTGTTCTCTTATCAAAAAGTCGTAGCTTTGAAAATCTCTCCAGGCTAAGCATCTTATCTGCAGAAATGAGAAGGAAAAGAAAGCTGTTCTAACTTTTTGTAAGTTCTGAAATGCAGAGAATCCTGTGTTACATCGGATTGCCACTAAAATCTCCTGTTTATATAATTATCAGTTCATTGGGTAAGACCATCGACATATCAAGGATAGCGGTGCAGCACTTTAAGATGATTCCAACCCTCAAGGAAAGTATATGGAAGGCCACACAGCTAGGCCTCAAACCCTCTGAAATAAAGGGCATGCCTTCCACTCTATAAAATAATTGGCAAGTGCAGCCATGCCCGAACCACCCACCCAGGTTTTTGGAACTCTTAACTGAAAAATATGCAACCCTACGAAATCAATGAGTTGCAAATTTGCATGAATTGAAGTGCCACACCTTTGGTTCTTCAGAGATATTTGAAGAGTAGTTGTAGGCCCACATAAAGAAGAGGGTGGTGAGCTTCTCAAGTTCTCATTACTGACAAGAACCGATAAAGTGGTGGCATAAATATAAAGTATATTAATTTGTTGCTTCTGTTGATTACTTCACAAGTTCACGGAAGATACTAACATACTTGAGATCATTCAGTGAGAATCGCATCAAAGGGATCATGAATGAATCGAACTTTTTCGTCACCCAGTGAAAGTTGTCACAGGTCCCATGACTCTCTCAAACTTTTCCTTTGTTAGGACCGAGCACACTACATTGCCGACAGCAATGACACTTAAGCAGCCAACATTTTCGCCATGAAGTGTCCACTCTCCAAAATAGCTTCCTTCAGCCTTTTGCAGTGAGACACCCTTGTTGTTTGGCACCAAATCATGCTCCTTGTTGTCGCATATGAGACTTGATATGTTTTTCATTCTCACTGTATCCATGTCAAATGTCACTTTGACTTCCCCTTTTTGGATGATGTACAGACCAAGTAGATCTTCATCCTACATTATGTGAAAACAGATTGAAGAGATTTAAATGAAATAGCTTACGCATCCAGAAGATAAAAGTAATGAATACCTTATTTGCTATAGTTTGCCCATCAGAGAAACTAATTTCTGAAAGAGAATCTGCTATATGGTTTAGCTGTAAAATTGTCAGTCTTGATAGAAGATCTACTGAATGAAGCAGTTTCAATGATGACAGATAAGAAATTTCTGATGTAAGGATTCCTCTGAAATCTCCTCTTGTGAGTTCCCAGAGTGTTCCAGTTGTTAATGCACGAACAGAGGCCTGTGCAGGTGTGTTGTACCTGTGGTCGAATTTAACCAAATCAAAAGATAGTTAACAAAAGTGAATATTAATCATTGAAAAATGACTTTGGCAGATTAAGTCTTGGGGAACCTAATCCCATTCTCACCCAATGTCTAACCGATGCACAGCACTAGATCTCATATCAATGTAAGTTGCATCATTTATTACTCCAGTAAAAAATTGCAGTAACAAAGCAACACTTTGACAAGAAAACTTGACAGACTATATATTCCCATTATTTTGTACTACCTCCGTCCCACTAAGGTGGTGGTGGTGCGGTTATTAAGAAAACTGAGGTTATGTGGTTGATATTAAATTGATAAAGTAAGAATGATTTAGAACCACACAAATTTTACCAAATTTGGTATGGGACAATCATAGTGGGATGGACCGAAAAGGAAAAATGGGAAAATCTTAGTGGGACAGAGGAAGTACTATTTTCAAGGATTAGAACCCATTTAGTGGGAAAAAACTATGTTGTAAAAACAGGACCGGTAAGTGACCCGGACGAATGATCGGGTCACAGGTCAACCTGATCAGCTTTTATATAAAATTTTATAGTAATAAACATATTTTAATATATTAAAAAAGTTAAAAAAATATGTATGCTTCACTATGATAAATAAATACTCCCTCCGTCCCAAAATGAACTTCACAGTCACTATTCACATAGTCAACTTAAATTACTCTTAATCTTATGTTTTATATATCAAATTTTTATCAAATTTATATGTTTTTTATCAGCCTTTGTAGCGGTTTTAATGTAGTTTCTCAATATGTAAATTTTATTTACTAAAAGTAATCTGAGTATGAACAGGGATCGAGTTGCTTTATCGTCGATCAAACATCGTAATCCGAAATGGGAAGTTCATTTTGGGACGGAGGTAGTAATATTTAGTAAGGAATTTTTATATATTCAAAAATGTTATTTGATATTTGTTTTAGTTTTAAAATATTTTGAATATTTCAATAGAGTGTTGAAATAAGAATACTTAAGCATCTTTGAATATTTAATATTCAAATATATTCACACATTCATGATTCATCATATTCTAAAATATAGTTTTAGGCCTATTTAAATCAATAATATTATTTGATATTTATTTTGTACATCTATAAAATATTTACATGCGGTTTTCTTTCTACAGTAAATATTTAAATACATCACATACTTTTTCAATTTTTTTTTTGAAAAACTGCACTTATTATAAAATCTCAAAGGTATTGTCTAAGCAGTTTAACTTATATTTGGATGTTATATACATAAACGGATATGACAGGTATAATTATTGTTAAGCGAGTCCCCATGACAACCAGTTTCAGAGGTGATTTGGAGCCATTTGAACTTTCTCTCAGTACACAAGGGTTTGATTCCCAGCCAAGACAGAATTTTAAATTGCCTGACTTCTGGATTCTTCCAGATTGTGCTAGGGTCCTAATATGGGCTGTCGGTTTTTTCCATTTTTTTATATATTTAGGAGTAAATAGGTAACCGGACCAGGTAAGGTGCCGGTTCGCCAGTTTCTGGGCCGACTTGTCCGGTCCGGTCTGGTTTCTTAAACATAGGGAAAACGGTACTTATTCAGAATAAATGACTTAAGCAGTTCATGAAATACATATTTGGCTGAAACGAATTTTACCAAACACTTTTCTTTTCACAAAATTAAAAAAATTCTGCCATTTCAGTTTAACTACAACCAAATGGGATCTTAGCTTTTAGGGGTGAATTAAGATCAGAAGTCAAGCCATTTTGCAATATCATCATTTTCATTTACCCCAGTGCCGCAAAGGCTCCCACCTACGGTGGGGTAAGGGGGGGTCGGATGTACGCAGTCTTACCCCTATACTAAAGCACAGAGAGTCTGTTTCCGGATGACCCATAGTGAAAATCGCGTCCAAAATTGCATGGACTGACTGCTGCTTCATTACAAAGAAGCGCAGACAGTTTAGTGAGCCATTTTGCTTTATTCCATCATAATCTCAAGCCAAAAAATAATGAATCTTTGGCTCCATTGCAAATGATGGAAAAACCATTTTGCAATATGTCTCGGTTAAATAAAGGAAAAAGTAAACAAATGAAAAGCATTAAAAGAACTCTTACATCAGGGCCAGCTCTCCGAAGGATGATAGCTTCTCAGCGGTGTATATCTGTGGAACCCTTTGTGTTTCTACGGGGTTTTCCACCTAAAATTAATATCACCAGGTTACAGAAAAGATGACCCAAGAGGCCAAGACTACAAGCTATTTATGACCTCCGATTCCTTGGCAAATGTAACGATGTGTTACATAGAACAATGATAATGAAACCACAAGGGCGAAAAATGAGTAATCACCTCTGTTTCCAGGACCTCAAATTCTCCACTTCCAACTACATAAAACGAATCACATTCAACACCCTGCAAGTAAAGATATATATTTAAAAGTTGCTAGAGCTCTTTAAGAGAATATCATGCAACATACCCCTATATTATGATGAGGGAAATATAGTCTGAACTCTGAAGTCTAAACATAAATGTGACTATAATTCTGTGATCAAGTAATCAAAACAGTATGTATGTAGCATGAGAGAATCATGACAACGAAAGCATTGCTCGATCCACAGGGACAGTTTGTAATGATCTTAAGTTCTTAACATATGATACAGATGACTGCTGCATTTCCACCACCAGGCACCATGTCATACATTCCGTGATTATGGAAATTTGTATTTCCATGCAACTTGCATGGTTTTAAAACCAATATAATTAATCCATCTGTATCTCACTCAATTTTCAGATACACTGCTATACAGAGTAGCTCTATGCATACCACTTAATCAGTCATGCTGACAATGATATCCCATCAAAAGAAGAAGAAAAACTTTGGTTTAATATTCTGTGGCACCCCCTTCAAACAGGGTATAGGAAGACAAAATGTATGCAGCCCTATTTCTTTTTTCTCAAAGAAGATTTTCATGGATGACCACCAATTGGTTTATTTATTAAATGCAAGATTGCTTGATGTACAACATCAGGTAGTATTATATTTACGAGAGCAATAGTGGGTAGATGAAGTTTTAGGTATGAAGTTTTTTTTATTCATAAATATAAAAACCGAAGGTGAGCCTTGGCGCACCAGTCAGGGTATTGTGTGACCGAGAGGGCGAGAGCTCATGGGTTCAAGTTTTGGGGGCGGCCTCTTGTCAAATTGACAAGGGAAGGCTTGCTCCCCATTAACCCTTGTTGTGAGACCCTTTCTCGAACCCTCGCCTTGCAGGGACACCAACATGCATCGGACTGCCCTTATTTATAGATATCAAACACAAGATGTCAAGATCATTAGATCTTATCAGCAAAATGATCTCAATATGACAAAGAGCATTTACAAACATTTTACCTTATTCACTACAATGTCTCCTGCTTGAACTTCCACTCTTTTCATACAATCCAGTAAAACATGATGCTGAGAATCTGTCAGTTTTCTAAAAAGAAAGTGATCATGCAAGACCTGCTCAATTTGTGCCTGTCATATAGATATTACAAATTAAAGGCTGCTGAAACACTCAAGAGTATCTTCTTGAGTTCTTGTTATTAAAGAAGTAGCAGGCATTCTGGAGAGTGAAAAAAGAGAATCAAGAGCAATGCTTTTTAAAAGAGTAGTTTACTTCTTCTTCCCAGGTCTTCCTGTGAGGTGGAGAAGGAGGCGTCCAAATCAGCCGATTCTCGAGGGATTTTTCAAAAGCATGAAGCCGTGCATGTGATATATCTTGTCTTTCTTGTTGATTCTTTGATTTCCAGCTCATGACAGTTGGAGATTCTGAACCTGGTCTATCTGCATCCTGAAGTAAAGGGAATCTTACAGCTGCTTCATAACTTTTGGATTGAACACCTGCAGCCTGGAACAGAACTGAGTCAGTATTTTAAGTCAAAGGAACTAATAAAAATGGACATATAAAATTCAAGAGTAGGAGCCAACTTACATCATTTAATCCAATAATATGGACAACTATGACAGTTATGTCATCAGTACGAGTTTCATACTGTAACCACAGGTGATATGATTCAGCAACTATGGCTGCACAAGCATCCTGGGGATCCTTATACTTCGAAACCTGACATTTCATTCAGAAAAGAAGGAAAGTAAATCTTCAGACCATGAATGAGAAGAGGGAAAAAACTAACACTTGTCCTATTTAAATATTTGTGATATGCTTGATGGCGTGCATGTACTATGCATACTTGCTTGTCCCTTCACTTGTACTATATATAGCATGGAAATATCCCAAAATGTAATGCAACCAGAACAATTTTTCTCACAAGAATCCCTTCTTGTTACCTTTTATATGTGTAGTGTTATCAATTTCCTTCTTCGCATTACCTTTTATATTTAGTGTTATCAACTTTATCATAATATGAGAGCCGAAATTCTGGATACAGAACCATACAAATATGACAGATATATTGCAACACAATCGTCTATGGATTATTGATTCTGGAGCAAATGAGTATATTGTACACTCACATTTTTTCAGATTTTTGTATATTCTACAGGACTTACACTTGAGAAATCTGATGGGTAAATTCTGTAATGATCTTTATTACATTGAGCTTCCGAAAAGTGAAAGTGTGACAATGTAGGTCTCGATTACTTCAGGTTTATGGCATCAGCGTTTGGGACATGCATCAAATGTGTGAAATATAACTCTCATTCTATTTATTGATGATGAAAACATTACAACAATAGCTATATTTATAGCTACAACTAGGGCTAACTACACAAAGTGGGCTACACCCAACGCAACTAGTGTTAGATGAAGTGACAATCAACCTCAATGTGTTTTGTCCTCTCATGAAATACATGATTAGATGCAATTTGCATTGCAGCTTGGTATCACACACTAGTTGCATTGGTTTCATGTTTCCATACCTCAAATCTTGAAGAAGATGTTTTTACCACAAAATCTCACATATAGCAAGTGCCATTGCACAATGCACTTCTTCAGCACTATCTCGCAACATCTTGCTTTTACTCTTCTATGAAATCAAATTTGTATTGGTGTATTTGATTTCATCAGTCAAAAAGGGTCTTTGTGTATTTATTAGATATCCAATCGGTCAAAAAGTTTATCAAATTTTTTATTTACATAAACATACCGTATATAGTTCTCGATATGTCACCTTTTTCGAAGAAAAAATTCCATTTAATGTGACCGTAAATCAAGGCTTTGATTTTCTAAATATTGTTGATCAAGTGTTATCATCATGTAATAGATTTGAGACTCATGGCAGCCTTGGATGACTCCCCATATATACACAACAATTATCTTCCATGCGTTCAAGAGATAAGGAAGTTGCAAATGGCAACGGATGATGTGGCTAGTGATCCCTGCATTGACAGAGCTGGTTGTCGCCATAGCGCCATACGCGCCATCGCCATGCACCATGACAACTATGCCTTTGAGCCATGGCGATCGCCATGCGCCATGACAACTATGCCAACACCAGCTGGCGAGACAGTAGGCTCACAATCAACTCCACCTCACAGCCTCACACAATTCAGCTGCAAAATAATACAGCCAGCGGGCCATCCTCTTCGCCAACTTCATGTGAACACACCAAACCAACGAATGAGCTAAAAGGGGAGAAAGAATTCTGAGGAATCCAAATCACTTACAAGATGATGAGACCGATGTTCCACCCTCGATCAAATCACCGCTCATTCAGCTAACTCGGCGGTATATTCTATTTCCCATTTCAATAATCATGTTAAGTTCACTCCAAAGCACAAAGCCCTATCTAGCAGCCATCGCCTCATCCCCTCATGTGATGAGCCGAAAACTTTTCAATAGGTTGTACAGGATCCCTTATGGGGAGAACAATGCAAAAAGAAATCACTGCACTAGAATATAATAATACTTAGACGCTAGTCAAGTTGCCCTTAGAAAAAGAGTAGTGGACTCCAAATGGGTATAAGAATTTAGATATAAACCCAATGGTGATGTGAAACATTACAAGGCTAGATTGGTTGCTAGGGGTTCTACTCAAGTTGAAGGAGTTGATTTCCATGAAACATTTGCACCGGTTGCAAACCCAGTCATTGCACGATGCATGCTAGCCGTTGCAACCAAATGCAATTGAATTGTACGCCAATTTGATGTTAACAATGTCTAACAGATGACATTAGTGGTAGGCGTGTGATGGCTAACTGTATTACTTAGTCACAACACATGACATGAATCGAAATATGAATATCACTACAGCTAGATCGTCGTCTGTAAGTGACGCAACATCCCTCCGCCCGGGATGATGTCAAATATGCAAGGGCGTGTTACACTTCATAGGCCTAGGTGTGGTGATAAGAACATTAATGTTGCTAGGTCGTCGCCCGGAAGCAACGCGCCACTCCAATGTCCGGGGATGGTGTCAAATATACAAGGGCATGGTGAGGGTCGATGTGGTTTGAAGAAGAGAAGCAGGGTGCTAGATTGCATTTTAGGACGTTGAATGTTGGTTCTCTTATGAGAAGATCATCTGAGGTAGTCGAGGTTATGAGGAGGAGGAATATATCAGCATTATGTGCGTGTGAGAAACTAAATCAGTTGGAGAAAATGCACGCGAGATTAATCCTGAAGGTTTTACGATGTGGTATTCGGGGGGGAGAAGACCAGATATGAAGTAGGCCTTATTGTGGTGCGTGATTATGTTGAGGGTGTGGTGGAAGTCTTTAGGAAAAGCGACCACATCATGAGCATTAAATTGGTAATAGGAGATGCAATCATGTCCGTGGTAAGTGCTTATGCACCACAAGTGGAATTGGTCGATCTTGAGTAAGTGATGTGACGAGTACCTAGGAGAGAGAAACTGATCATAGGAGATAACCTTAACGGGCATGTGGGCCCAAGTCATGAAGGTTGTGAGTATCCATGGCGGACATGGTTTTGGCACTAGAAATGAAGCGGGGAAGAACATTCTGGATTTACCTCAACATATGAGTCGGTTGTAATTAAAACTTGGTTCAAGGAAAGAGACTCTCACCTTGTGACCTATAGAAGTGGAGCTAATAGTACCCAAATTGACTACTTTTTAGTACGAACGACTTGGAGAACTAACTATATTGATGGTAAGATTATCTCAAGTGAGAGTATTGTCACTCATCATAGAATGCTTGTGCTTTATTTTCAAGGTAAGAAGAGAAAGCGGTTTAAGGTACAAGTGGAGTCAAAGATAAAGTGGTGGAGGCTCGAGGGGATCTCCAACAAAGTTTTGCATACATAATGTTGGAGGAAGATGTATCGTATATTGATAATGACGCATATGTGGATGATGTGTGGTTATCAATGGAGTCGACCATTGACAAAGTGGCAAAGGAGATACTCAAAGAATCTAAAGGATGTCTGCCACCAAACAAGGACACATCTTGGTGGAATGATGAGGTGAAACAAGTAATAAGGACGAAAAAGGAATGCTACAAAAAGTTGGGCAAAAGTTGGAGCGAAGAAAGTTGTAAAGGAAGCAAAAGGGAAAGTGAACAAGGAATTATATATAAAATTGAACTCTAAGGAAAGAGAAAAAAGGTATTTACAGACTAGCTCGCCTTCGTGATCATAGGACTCAAGATATCAGAAAAGTTAAGTGTGTGAAGGATGTCAATCAAAGGGTACTGATGGAGGATAAGGAAATAAAAGAGAGATGGAGGTCATACTTTAATACCTTGTTCAATAGGAATAAAGTGCAAGGTATTGATAATCTCACTATACCAGATTGTATGGTAAATCGGGACTTTGTGAGAAGGATCTAAATAACGGAAGTTAAAGATGCTTTGAGAAACATGGGGCGGAAGAAAGCAGTGGGTCCAGATGCCATACCGATCGAGGCCCGGAAAAGTTAGGGAAATAAAGGTTTTGAGTGGCTAACATGTTTCTTTAACATGATTTGGAGAAACAACAAAATGTCAGTGAGTTGGCAGAAGAATATTGTCATTTCCCTATTTAAAAATAAGGATGATGTACAAGAATGTGTCAACTATCAAGGGATTAAGCTTATGGGTCACAACATGAAACTTTGAGAGCTAGTAGATGAGCAAAAACTCCGAAAAAGTGTGAAAATATCGGAGGTCACTCATGGAATTGTTGACTCCTTAAAATATAACTATCGAGGGATTAAGCTTATGAGTCACACCATGGAATTGTTGACTTCTTAAAAGATGGACACTATCCACCGGAGATAAGAATAAGTGTGGCATGTAGTCTGCTCTATTGCCCGGAAAGTTCAGACTTCGATAAGAAGAATGGGGCTTTATGAAAAGAGCGAGAGAATCCTACCTCAAATATTATAGGAGCATTTCCTTTTCCTTTTTCAAAAGAAAGTGTCACAAAAAGTTTTGTATTTTTCTTCTTTTGGAAACTTAAGCCTCTAATTTGACCCCTTCCAACTCAAACTTTCACATCCTAGGTCCTTAGAAGAAAGCAACTAATGATTAATTAAGAAATAAAAAGAACCATCAAGATGTAGAACATAAATGGAAAAGACATGCCTTTAAATGCAACGTTAGTTTAGTTTTAAGTAATTGCCCTAGATAGGAGTAAAACGTAAGAGTTGTACCAAAATAAGAACTTATGTTATTTATTTATTCCCAAAATATGAGTTCAATTCCTACAATACCCTTTCCCTATTTTTTTCTGACCAAATCCAGCCATCGGCGATCCGGCAAATAGTGATCGTGGTAGCCACGTAAGTAAGTTTTTCTTCTTTTCATCCCCTCCTCCTCCTCTCCTCCGCCTTGTCCCCCTCCTCTTCTACTCCCCTTCATCTTGTCCTCATGGCCCTCTGTTTTCTTCATATCTAGATTTTTTTGCTATATTTTGTTGATTATATTTGTTTAATTTTGAGATTCAAAATGAAAATTGCTATTTTAGATCTAATTTTTTTGCATTCGAAAATGAGATGTTACAACAATTGGTTATCTGAAAGTTTTGGATCTATTTTTTATTTATTTCAATTTATTTGTTGTAAAAAAATGAATATCTTTATGAGCTTTTTCAATCTAAAAAATGTCAATTCGAAAAATAGTCATTTGAATATGGCAATATCAATCTTTCTTAAATACATCAACTGTAGTGCCATGTTTTTCTTTGTGAAAATGGAAGTTCGGCAAATATTGCCATTTTATGGCCTAAGTCAATGAACATGGCAATATTTTCATATTTCTCAATATGAACTTGTTATTACAAACATGGCAATATAACATGAATGCCATTCACATGGCATTCTAGTGCTAAGATGACACTTGTTGTACTAGTCTCTTCCAGCCAGAGGTTGGCACCAATCCCGCCATATGAAGCATGGTGGTGCCAGAAGACGTCGCGGAGGTGGCCTCACTGGAGGAGATTGACGGGGGAAGTTCATCGCCGAAGTAGATCAACGGAGGAGGTCATTGCTGGAGGACGGCGCAGACGTCGTCGTTGTCCAATGACGGTGGTGTCAGAGATGTCGGAGGGTGGTGGCTGAGATGGCGTGGAAGGGCGGTGGCCGCAGCAGAGGGTGGCATCAACCTTGATGGATGCAGCAGTAGATCTAGGGTTTGAAACACTTCTTAATTTATTTTTTCTGATTTATTTATAAATATAAATTTACCTAATATTTCATTAAAGGGTAATTTGGTCAAGCCATATACTTTTTACTTTCTATCAATCATTGAACTCCTATTTGGGAACTTCTTTAATGTTTTACTCCTATTAAGGGAATTAACTCTTTTGTTTAACACTTGTGTTACTACTTACTAGTTACTAGTGATGGACGATTGGAAATAGGGCCAGACATTAATATTCAAAGCATGCCTTTGTGTTGATCTGTAGATAGGAATATCACATTATGAAAAATAGAAGGATAAAAGGAAAAAGAATTACCATATCCACAACATTTTGGCTCGAGAGGAACTCAAATACACCATCACTGGCAATCACAAAGAAGGGGTGATTTGGTGTTAGCTCCAGAACTGTAACTTCAGGGTTTGCCACAACACCAATAGTCTCAGCAATAGAATCACCTATACTTCTTGTAAAAGCAGTACCAGGATATGTCCCGTTTTGTACCCAAAGCCTAGGAGGATCACCATCATCGCCTTCCTCTGTGTCCCAACATTGCAAATCTGGGTTCTTCAGTCCTTCAATCTGATCCATGGTGAGAACCCTTGCCCCACATTGCTTAACCCTTTCAAGTTCATCATGACGAAATGGGGTTTGATCAATCGATAGGTCCACTGCCACAATATCATTTCCCCTTCTCTCAGCTATGACGGCTCTTGAATCGCCTGAATTGGCAGCATAAATTGTTTTTCCACGTACGAGTACAGTGATTGCCGTAGTCCCGCTCATGCTGTCATCCAGAGCATCATCGTGCAATTGTGAGTTAGTCATCAAGAAAGCATCATGGAAGGCCCCAACAGCATCTAGATGGAATTTGTTATTCTGAAGCAAATTTTCGCACAACTTCTTCCTCACAAACTGAGAGCATTGAGCTCCAAATTCTCCATGCCCATCAAAAACCCCAAAGAAATGGTCATCCAGAGTCATCCCAAAAGGAGTACGGATGCAAAAACTATCTTGATTAGCTTTATCAAGAGAATCAGGATAATACCCTGTTTGAGAAAGATATGAGTACCTTAATTCATAGTTACCAGATTGAACTACGGCACTATGTGAGCCCCCTTCGGGAGGTAAAATTTGTAAAGAGACGCGAGATGACCTAGCTATACCAATTTCGTGGTCCCTGCCTATACTTAACTGGCTTAACTGCTCCCTAATGTCCACATCCTCCACATCTGAGGAAGCAGGTGAAAAGACAGGGTTTTCAGATGCTACTTTGACATTTCCGGGGTCTCGAGCATCCAAATCTCTTGGAGGACATATCTGTCCAATGCATGCTTTGGAGTAAACACAACCCATTACAATAAACACGAAATTGAGCCTATCCCAGAAGAAGGTGTATTCGGTTTATACATCACCACCAATCAACTCCTATGCCAACGCAAAACAAAACATCAGCGTACCTAGGAATAACACTGGTAGTTAACAAATTCTGGTCGGCAATATAAATAAGTTCAGACATGTTATTATTTAGGGCAACTAAAATTCAAAGAAAGGGTTATGCTTAACCCGGAGTAAGAGTTGCACATGTATGAAGGAGAAAGTAGGCAATATAATATTTGTGAAATGGAAATGGAGATGAAGAAGCACGCAGAGCGAATGAGTAGAAAGTAGAGTGATGCAGGAAAGCAAGTGGTTGTTGATTCCGGAGGCTGTTACCTCGCATTCCGAACCCGATCACAGGTAAACCGAGTTGAGAGCGGTGGCGTAAGGAATAGACGATGGAGCGAGAGGTTGAGCATCCATCTGGCGGTTTTGTTCAATTCACCGATCTCCCACTCCAGGAGGCAGGCAGCACAGCAGACAGAAAGCGTTAAATTATTCTCAGAGCTAGCGGTATCCATTTGTGATGTGCGAGTTGGATTGAGGCGAGTTGGCGACTAGAGTAGTGGGCCCATGCCCATGTGATGTGCTCATCATCTGTTCAAGTCCGAATACATACACCTCTCGGGATCTCTACGCTCCCAACAACAACACATGCAGTATGCCACCACCTTTCTATTACTTTCCGCTCTGAAAAATTGAAAATTGTAGGGTCCTCATAGGGCTTCGTAAGGAAAGTCAGTTATGCACTTTAAATCTCGTACTTCTGTATATAATTTAGCGCAGTCAACTTCAAAAAATCATTTGAAGGCCTTTGGAATGCCTTATCACCGAGGCGGTCTTGGACCCCTTGGCGATCTTGCACTCCTCCAGACTCTCGAGGGCGAATGTCCGGGGCCTATCTTTGTTCGCACCGTGCTGGTCCCGGGACTGGACTTCCTGGGAGGCGATGTCTTGAGCCATGACCCCCTCGTTGTTTCCGGTTCTTGGAACCGGGCGTACGAGGGGCGGCGGAGGTGGTGGAAAAGTGATGGCATTTTCCCCAACTTGTGCCTGGGCGGCACAAGTGCCCCGAAGGCGCCAGGATTATGAGTGAGAGTGTGGATGAAGGCTGAAAAAGCCGAGTGCACGTCAATAGTGAGGACCGGAGGGCTCACTTGGTTTTCGCTCCGGTCCTTCCTCCGAGTCTCGATACCGAGGCGGGCATCAGGAGCGTTCTTTTGGAGCTGAAGGCGCAGGTCAGCAGCGACCTACTCCATTTCAGTGAGGGCCCCGCCTTCGGGAGCTATGTTTGAGGCTTCAGCGGTGTTGATTTCACCGAGGCCCAAATTCTTTTCTTCAAGGGTCTTGGACTGAGCACGAGTGGCTCTTCCCATTTCAATAGGTATTTTTGTGTTTGGTGAGGGGAGTTCTTACTTGATTGTTCAGACCTCTCAACGAGGGGTTATTGCGGGGAATAACCTAGAGAGAGGTCGGAGCAAGTAAGAGAGAGAGTGAATATGTATTCAATATAGTAGGTTGTGTCGGATTACAATGAAAAACGGCCGCTATTTATAGTAGCCTAAATGTTAGGCAAGGACACGTGTCAAACATCTGACGGTCGAGGATCATCTCAATCGGGGTGGCACCGGAATTTGCATGTGCACCGCATTAAATGAGGTGGTTGGACGTGACGTCGTATTAAATGCGGTGGTTTGTCTGTCTCTAAAAGGAATCTTCGTCAAGTCTGCTGTATGCCGAAGGCCTGACGTAGCCGGAGGCTGTACCATATAGCCGAAGGCATCGTATAGCCGAGGGCATGAGTTAGCCGAAGGCTAACATTTTAGCCAGAATCCCCCAGAACTTTTGCAGGTCCATATCAAGTTGTCTCATAGAATTTGGAGCCTTCGGCCACAAGGCCGAAGGCATCCACATGTGCACCGTGGGCTTCTTCATGCCTGGGCCGCTACGTTTGGGCATTGTGTGCTGACTGGGCTTGGTGGGCATGTGTAGGAGAATTATGAGTCTGTGGGTCGGGGGTCCCTGGGCCATATACTCCATCAAAGGGCATGTACTATACCGAAACCATTACATAACGCTATCTACTAAAAAGGTGTCAAAAAATACATTTACTTTTAACAAAGAATCACATGAGTTCAAACAACCTGCTAGTAACATGTTAATCCCGATTACTGCTTATGTGGCTCCATTTGTTGCAGTTCGTATACCATGGGATCATCCCATGGTTCCATTTGTTGCAGTTCTATAACGGTTAAATTTGTAACCGTTATAAATAACATTCTATAAGGGGTACGACTACCCGACACGAAAAGTGCCCGACTTTCTATATCGTTGGCTACTATGTCGTTACGGGAACCGACATAAAAAGTGCTTTTTAACTCATATAGAAAGTGTTTTCTACACTAGTGTCATGCTCCTGGGCCAAAAACGACGTAGTTTTAATCATTTAAAAAAATCAAGTGAATAGTCCCGCGTGAACAGTAACTGTTTTTTCTTTTTGTTCCAATAGCATGAATGATGTAACTCGCGTGCAAGAAAATGTAACTCACGTTAATAAGAAATGTTACTGCAGGCAAGTCAAAATGTAACTTGTCAAAAACAATGATTTCAATGTAAACAATAAAAAAAGAGTCTGATTTCTTATTTATTTTACCGAAATGGTGAATATGTTTTGTAATAAATTGGTAAAGAAAAAAATTAATTCAGTCGTAATATAATTAGTAAATTAATACTAGCTAAACCCTAAAGCTCTTGATACCATGTGAGAATAATGACAGGCTTACCAATGTGGTAGCCCTTGGTGTCCTATATATAATAAGAAGTGTCCTATAATAAAGTATATTGAATTTCATAATCACAAAATAAAACCCTTTTATTGAATAAAAAAAACTTTTTTTATATCGATTTTCATTTAAAAAAAATGATTTTCTTGGGAAAAATGATTTCTTTAAAACATTTTGTGGTCATAATATTAAAAACAAAATATATTCCCTATTTCGGTAAAATAAGAAATTAGACTCTTTTTTTATTATTTACATTGAAATCGTTGTTTTTGACAAGTTACATTTCGACTTGCCTGTGGTAACATTTCTCATTAGCGTGAGTTACATTTCTTTACACGCGAGATGATCCCACGGTATACGAACTGCAACAAATGGAGCCACATAAGCAGTAACTGGGATTAACATGTTACTAGCAGGTTGTTTCAAATCATGTGATTCTTTGTTAAAAGTAATTGTATTTTTTGACACTTTTTTTAGTAGATAATATTATGTGATGGTTTCGGTATAGTACATGCCCTTATTTGACCCCTTTTCCAAAGTAAATGTATTTTTTTAACACTTTTTTATTAGATATGTAACACCGCCCCAAACATATTTTACTTTTCAGTAAATCATGTAATAAACCTTGAAGAATGAGTATGAATTTTTGAAGTTGTAAATTTTTGTTATTTCTTTGCGTGAATAGTGAATCGCACGCGGGACCCACACCGGGCACAGGGATAACCATTCACACATAGCACATCCATAAACAAACATAATGTAAAACATTCATTTAAAGCAGCGGAAACATAAATTCAAATGTTTAAGCCACACCTGGCATCATCAGGTATACAAGCCCCCAAAATAATTATTCATAAAATAGTATCCATGAGCATTATCATAATTGTTTTGAAAATGGAAACAGAGGAAACACGAACCACATCTTCTCTCTCTTCTTAGAATTCGTCGAAGCAACGGGCGATGGTAGCAAGCTTCAACTTCTACCTGAAATTGTGAGGTGGCCTCCTCAGTGAAGGGGAGGTCATTACTTTGAAGCATTTGAAAAGTACAATGACAACTACACTGAATATAATCAATGTTTCAATTCCTTAAGACCCTCAAATAGTGTGGTATCATAATATAATTGATAGTTCATATTTGCCGCTTATTATCTCTATAATAAGTAAATTCATTTATTTGTCGGCACACGGCCCTTCTTATATATTCCTTTTCATTCATCATTTGTACAACCCAACCCGTGGGTCTTATTATTTTTACGGGATTTGCTACCGCTGTTCGAGACCTCATGAGGCTCTCGGTTCGGATTTCAACATCCCGCCCCTGGACTCATACCCATCATCCCGTAGGAAGGTAAGGCCTTTTGGGGTCCTATCTTATTTATTACCGCTGTCGGAGCCTAGTTAGGTCTCCGATTCGGATTCCACCTTAATCCGTGATCACGATGCAAGTCCATGCTATCCAACCCCGCTCTCTAGAGTCGGGAAGGGCCATGATCCTTACTTATTACCATAATTCAACTGGCTATCCTCAAAGACTACCGAACACACCCGTAGACCAATCCTATATCTAGGATCAATTTATTATTCAATCTATCTTGGGTATCCCTTAAGGCCTACCCCTAGTATAACTTAAAGTTCATGCAATCCTACCTTAAAGCATCTCTTAAGACTACTTAAGGCATACCATTTCACAATCCACCCTTAGGATCAATTTTAGCAACATTTCACTTTAATGCCCAATTAGTATATTAATACTTAGTCCAATTAATTTCAAGTATAGTTAGTTAAATACGGTACGGGAATTAAACGAGGTTTAATACATACGTGTTTTATTCGGTAACAAGAATGAAAAAGACGGTCAAAAATTTGTTGAAAAATGCGTTGACTTTTAAAAAACGTGTGAATACGTATACGTGTATAAAACGGTATATGTTACAAAAATTCGGACAAAAAATACGGGGTATTATTTTGAACATTTAAAGTATATGCTTCACAAATTAAGATATATAGTAAAAAGAAATAAAAGTATACACATATTCAAGTAGCAAATCTCATTACCACATGAAAGAATAATTCGTAATTGCATAAGTCGATGACAAAAATAAAAATAGTAATTAAGTCCAAGACATAATTTTGCAAAATAAAGTAAAAAAAAATGAGGCATAATAATTAACAATAGAATGAGACTAAGTTAAAATCATTGTCTTTATATCATCATCAAGTAACACTTAAGTTAAACTCATTATTCTCATCAAGATAACAAACGACACATGAGAAGAGTACGTTCTGCGACTGCTACGGTTATTAGTGTTTATGTGTAAAAGTTTATACTAAAAATATGTCAGGTTTAGAAAAAGCTTAATTTTGATATGCTTGATTGGAAAAACATCATAAATCCAATAGTATTTCAAATTTTAGTATTTTAGAAAGCTAGCTTGAGCCGTCGTGTAATTAATTTTATTACGAAGTTTTAGTATTTAATAATAATTGCATTGTAACAATACAAAAGCACGGGGCCACGAGGGGGGGGGGGGGGTCCTGTTTGTTTTTAAGCTATTGTTGATTTCATATGCATTTAATGTTCTCATTCAATTGATCAGTTCATGTTTCTATTTCTTGTAAAATACGGAAAAAATACGTTTTATACGGGAAGTAGGAGTTTTTTTCCTCTTTAAACGCACTGACATTTTTTT